TAAAAGTCGTAGCCATCAGCAGTACACTGGGAGATATTGCCTCGGTCAGTCAGAAGGGGCCGGGCAGTCAGTTATTGCTCCACTCCATTAATGCTACACCCATAGCCAGGAGCGTGACCCTGGAGAGTTCTATAAACTGTCTGTCCTTCTCCACCGCCCCCGAGGGTCAGTCTGTCAACATCCTGGCCGGCGGCATGGACAACGGAATCATCAGGTAAACAGCCCAGATTTACTGTCATTAGATAACTTGGTTTCTATAACATGTAGGGTTAATGTAGAGTATAACATTTATATACATAATTTGTTTCAATACATTTTTTTCTTAACTAAATTTTTTTTTTATTTGAATATACAGCACTTTTCCATTCAAAAATTAGGTACATGTTTTTGATAGCATTGTATTTTTTCTAAGTACATACTAGTAATATTGAGTTTTTTTAATGAGCATTAATTTATGCAATTTTTATTATTACTTTGACAAGCTTTAAGTACTAGCATTTTGATCTGATTATTTTGTCAGACTCTGGAGCAGTATGGACTTGACAGTGCTTAGAGATCTGCAGACTGAGAATCTCATGCACAAACCTGTGATCAGGTAAGATTCCACGCAGGTGCTCTTTTATCTTTTGTCTGAGTCACAAGTCATTTACTGTAAAATCACGTATTTTCAAGGGGTCAAATTTTCATGGTTTGAGGAAAATATTTTGGTTCATGGTTCAAGAATTGTTCAGTAGTAATATATGTGAAAAATTGCATTTCATGGTGAACAGAAATTTGTGGGTCTCTTCATACCTTGAAAACCACGAAAATTAAACCCCCACGAACTTAGTGATTTCACAGTATTAGACATACTGACACAGGAAGATGGTAAATGTTGGGAAAAATTATGATACAACTTGAGCTACTAAGGAAAATAAAAATGGATGATTACATATGATATCTTTTATTATGGTACTCTTAACAATTGCTGGAGAGTCATGAGTCACTAATTTCATATCTGTAGACATAAATGAAGCCATTTTTGCCTCCGATCCATAATGTGTTCAGCAACATGGACATTGACCACAGTCCCTCCTCACTTCTGATTAGATACGTCAGGAAGTCGCCATTCTCCTTTAGCAGGTGCACACACATATTGCCACAGTCACTTAATAAAATGTTACCGGCAGAATCACAACAGATTCCTCGCGGATCAAATTCTGATTGGTTGGGACCATTTCCTTTATAGCGATATCTGAGTTTGCCCGATGAGGAAAGTACACACAGCTGTCCATTGTCAATCGCTGTTCGATCAATCACACAGATATCCCCATTTGTATTTACTGATACCCTGTAAGGGTATAGAAATAAATTTGTCTTTCCATTTTCCTCATACTGGTAAACCTTTTTGGTCTTTCCACTACTTGATAGAAGCAGGACAACACTTTTCTTTGGCTGCCTCTTGGTGAAGAGTTCCTCACTGAAGGCTGTGGCATCTATAGCAGTGACAAGGAATCTGTCGTCTGCAGTGGCACAGATCCCAACAGGGAACAAGGGGGATAAGTCTGCCAGCTTGATAACTTTGTTGGTAGACATTTCACTGATGTTGGCCTTTGGGGGAGAGATTTTCATCACAGAATGCCCTGCATGCCAGGTGTATATGTGGACTCCATTGCTTAATGTGATAAAATCATCTGGTATATGATCAGATTGGGTCTCCCCAAACATACACCCATTCTCTGCGTTTCCGTTGTCAATGTTGAGCAGTACGTTTTCTGGGGACCTGAATTCCCTGTACCAAGCTTGTGTGTCTGATATCGGAGATATGTACTTTATCATTCTGCTCCCTTTCTTGGCTTCAAATATTTTTGTGACTTTGACTTTGCTGTACTTCAGGAATATTTCACCTAAAATAGACTGCAATATATTCTCATCCTTTTTACCCTCCTTGAATTCAATCTGTTGCAAAGTTAAATCTTGTTCAGAGAGTTTTAAGGGGTCGGGTACAGATTCCACATTTTTCTTTAGCTGTAGTAGTTTGGACAAATCTATGGTTTTACTCTCTTCTTCTATGTCTTTCATACTGGATTCAAACTGTGATAGGTACACTTCTATTTCCTTTTCTTTGGCATCTAATTTTTCTTCATTCTCCACTTTGATTGATTTACAGTATGTAACTAACTCAGAGCAAATTCTCTGTAAAGTCTCCCTGACAGTTTCAGTGTGTGTCAGAATTTTCTCTGTTTTTTCTGCTACAAGGTTTTCATTTTCCTGTCTCAGCTCTTTGATTCTCTGGATTTCTGCCTGCAGTCCGGGAACCCTGTCTTGTCTGACTACATTGCACTGTTCCTTCAGCTCCACTTTGATACGGTCCAGTACTTTCACGGTTCTGCTCCAGTCATGAGAACCGTGTTCCTGTTGTCCACATATCAAACAGATTTCTTCTTCACAGTCCACACAAAACATGTCCAGCAGGTCACCGTGGTCATGACAAGTCTTCAGGGCTGCCTGAGCCTGTGTATCACTAAAAGCTGCCATTATATAATCATTACCCAAACTATTTCACAAATAAATCACCATTCTGAAATCCATGCATGCTGCAAACTTTCATGTTCTAAAATCAATATTTACTGTTCTATATTCAACTTCAATACCATTTAATTTTGGGAAACATAGCTTTGAGGAAGGAATAATGAGGAAATACACTTGGTTACAGGAAGTTGTTCCTATTTTACATGTATATCCTGTGGATTTTCAGTTTTGGAGTAATATGCTATTGATATATTAATTCAGGATGTATTAAATAAGTTTGTACATAATTACAAAATATTTATGTACATACATAAATACAATTTCAAACTGAAAAAATAGCCATGAAATGCCTACTTATGCCATATCAGGCATGTAGCCTAGTTTTCACAAATGGTCAATGAAAATTTCCATACCAAATTATCAAAAAAGTTGTTTTTTCAAAAAAAATTGATGTGAAAAAGGGGGAAGGTGATACTTTGTTCAATACAATAGTTTATGTGTAATTCCAGATTGAAAAAAAAAATAAATACAATAATTTAATTAGTATAATTCTAGGAAGATCATAGAAATGAAATGATACATATTTAATTTGTGTATGAGGAATGATGTTACAATACTAGTAAATAAAGTTTTTAATTAAGTCCATGTTATAATTTCCTATTTCAATCTATTTCAGTTTGACCTTCACCAACGATTCTTCTCGCCTCTACATGACTTCTTCTGATGGAACAATTACAGTATGGGAGTCGCCTCCCTTTGGTCGGATCAGACCAAACAACCTGTTACTACACATATAAAGAGACAAGGAAACCTCCTCCTACACATATAAAGAGCTCAGACAACCTTCTTCATATCTTGAGTCATAAACAGTCATGGCATCTCTCCAGCTAGAGGGTATTTCTTGGTTATGCAACACATCTCAGATAATTTTCAGTAAAATTACCTGTAGTGAAATAATCCCTTTTTGTTCAGCAATATCTACATTTTACTTCACTTTATCATTTGAATTGTGAGAAATTGTACATAGTTCAGTAAAAGCACATTGTAGGCAGCTTTATGTATACAGACTGATTCTGAGTATTTAACAGTTCAATGGCAACTTTTTTATGTATATCAATATTTTAACAAGAATCTATTGAAAAGCATCGTTAAGTTATCTATTTTTTGTTTATGAATACTTTTCAATCATCTTTGTTGGAGGGGGGGGGGGGCAAATGTTGTGGATTTTGTGGATAACCCTTATATAACCAAATGTACATCCCCACAAAAAATTACCATGTAAATATATTTATTCACTGAATTTTGGGTGTATATGAGTTATTCACAAAATTGTGTCCCCATGAATCAACTAAATTTTGCTTACCCATGAAGATTTGCCCCCTGAATTAAAGTGATTACACAAAAATGTTATTATATACATGTATGTACAGATAATCTATTCATTTTATACAATCACTTTTACCAAAGTCTCATTTTTTTATAAATTGACCAATATTTGCTCAATGTACTTTCTTGACCATTCCATAAGCGTGTATACAGGTATATACCGGTATTATCCATCCTTGTGCCATTTTATATGAATATTTGACATTGATTTTTGAGTGTGTGGATTTATACTGTAGTGAGTTCAGACTAAGCTTAAAGCTTTGGGTGTGAGATAGTTCCACAACAACAACAATTTAATTGTTAATAGCAAACTGTTCTCTTATTTTTGTTTTCTAAAACAATATGCACTTGAAGAAATTTTGTAAATTTTTTTTTGGATTCATTACGTTTTTTAATTTGAAGACAAAGAGTCTTTATAAAATAAAGGTTTTCTGAAATCCGTTTGAAAAAGTGATTTTTTTACCATAAAATCTCTATAGATTCATAATTGTTTTTATTCAATAATAAAGATACTGATTTATTTTGTTTGTTTTTATTTGCTGAGCACCTTTAGCAATATGTAGGGGTATAAACAATCGTAAGTTTCCTAATAATTCAAGCATCTTTTGTAAAACTTTTGATGGAGAATAATTTAACATTCCATAAAATTAACTGTGCTTTCATTTGATTATGGAGAATTTTCTGGATTGTCAGGCGGCATACCTAAATTTTTTGAGACAATTGTGCATTTTGCGATAAAAGCATAAAATTTTGTATGTAAGTAGAGTAGTTCATTACAAACATATTTGGATATTGGGCCTTTTCAATCGGTACCTTGTATAACCTTGTCGGCCGATTTTCAAAATGGCTGACAAACGCAAGCATTTACAAGAACATTTTCTTTTACACGTTTTAAATAAAAAAAAACATCTTTGCAATATTTATAAATGTACTTACATTTGCAAAAGCTCTATGATTCAGACAAAATGTTTCTTCATCTCATCGGGGTTAAGTATGTGCCAGCTGATGCTATTTATAGTAATAATTTTTCTAAATATTACAATATTAAAAATCTATGATTAAATTTAAAACATATTCTTTAAAACAGACATTTACGACCTATCTTTAACTAAATATGCCGCGATAGAGACAAAATACCAACCCTTAAAATTGACTACCTTATTGTTTAACTTGCAGAGTTCACTTGTAACTGTTGTTACTATTTATAGTAACTTATTTATTGTTTAGTTCAAATTGTAACTGTTGTTACTATTTATAGTAAAATTTAACTATCATTCGCATACTAATTATACCCCCCGCTTGAAAAGTGAAAGGGTATATTGTAATCGGTTTGTCCGTCCGTTCGTCTGTGCGTCCGTCTGTCTGATACGCTTTGGGATACCCATCTCTTATCTTGAACTCCTTTTTTACCACTAAGTGAAATCTAATGAAACTTTCAGAGAATCTTTATTACATATTGCCATTGTGCACCTCTTATTTTCCTTTTTGATTCGACACATATTTTGGGTTTCCCCGCCACAGCATAACATGAACGTTTCCACTATAATCATTTGGGAGGCGGGGTATCATTTAGTGAGCTCATTGCTCACAGTACCTCTACTTCAGTCAGAGGACGTCCATGCAAATTGAATGAAAAGAAACATAAAACAATATCATCGCAAAATTAATTGTGTTAATTATGTAACGCTTAAAAAACTATAGTTACTAGTATATTGAATACTAGGATATAATTGTTATGGAACTTGAGTTGTTTGTATTGACTTTTGCCAATCTCTTTGACTTCCGATTTATCAAGAAGTTCTTACAGAGCTTGCAACGTTGTTCCATGCCTAAGATCACACAAATCATGCAAGATGGATTCGTGTTCATCTCAGGGAACTCCCTACAAAACACCCTGAAATAAATCAGGAATTTAATGATTGAAATTTCACAGTGCAAAACACCAAACGGGTCTTCTCTGCTATTCTAATTGATCAAGCACATGAACAAAATAACGCGTATATCAAGGACGACGGAGGAGCAATATTTCTTACTAATAACCCTCCAATCTTTCTTCAATAGATGATATCTGGGCCAGCTTCAAGATGAAGAATCTGACAAGAGAGGGTCAAAAAGATACCCGTCATCATGATCAAACACCTAGTATACACCTTCGTTTGTTAAAGATGTTAACTCTCTTGTTTGTCTGATCAATGACCTTGGCAATCCCTTCGATAAATTATGTAAAGATCTTCTAGTTCTAGATACAAAGGAACTTTCAGACCAATCTGCAGTAAGAGCTTATTCAAAAATACAAGCAGTTCAAAATTCAGTGAAAAGAAAGAGGATGTAACTTAGCTCAAACGTAATGTGAATCTCTTTTTTGTCAAAACAGACAAGGTAACCTTAGATAATTCTTTCGAATCCACTATGCCCGCCTTCACTTTCTGATGTATGTAACATCCATCTTGGAACCAAGAGTGACCTTCTTCAGTGCTTGGAGGAATTTGACGAGGAGAGATCTGAGCCTCCATTGACAAGCTGTGTAATTCTGAATGGTTCAGTTGTTGTTCAAATGCTTAGGTCGATTACTGCTAAGACCTCAGAAAATTATGCTCTTCAGAACTTTATTCCATATATTTCCTCAGTTTCTAAAAGATTCGCGTGTAGACCTGGTATGGGAAAAATATATAGACAATTTATTAAAAGGTTCCACTAGAGCAAAGCGAGGCAAGAGAAAACGAATACGTGTGACTGCCGAGTCAACAGTACCTAGAGATTGGCAAGATTTCCTCGAGTAGATAGAAACAAGACGGAACTTTACAGATTCCTCTCAAGATCTCTCATTACGACTTTTGATGAAGGTGTCAACCAATTGCAAATAGTTATCACCGATGGTAGAAATGTTCTTTCAAAGCTCTAAATACAAGATCTCTTTTCGATTTCTCCATGTAATCACGAGGAAGCAGATAGCCGAATGCTGTTACACACAGCACATGCATCTCGCCAAGGCCATAACAGAATACTGATCCGCACTGTTAACACTGATGTTGTGGTCCCGGCTGTGTCCTTGGTGCAAACTTTGAACCCAGAGATGGAACTTTGAATAGCCTTTGGAACTGGAAAAAATTTCCGTCACTTGGCAGCCCCTATAATTGGACGTGGCCTTGGACACAGAAAAGCTTTTACACATACAATGTTTCATACGCTGACTGGATGTGACACTGTTTCCAGTATTGGTGGGCATGGCAAAAAAACTGAACGGAAAACTTGGAAGGCCCTACCTTAGCTCACTGACGCACATGTTAAATTAGTTTGTCCACCAACTAATATACCTAGCGGTATTATGCAAACCATTGAAGATTTGTCATCCTTCTCTATGACAGGACCAGAACATGCTCTGACATAAACCAAGCTAGGCAAAAGATTTTCGCAAGGAAATCTGATGTGAAACAAATTCCGCCAACAAAGGCTGCGCTAGAGCATGTAAAACGAGCAACTTTCCAGGGAGGACAGGTACTGCAACTAAATCCATTATTGCCCTCCTCTATCGAGTGGGGTTGGATTATGACAGATGGTCTGTATGAGCCCCAATGGACAACACTGCCGGAAGCCTCGAAAGTCTGTTATGAACTAATAAGATGCAACTGTGACTTGAAAAATAAAGGATGTTATTTAAAAAGGTGTTGTTGCAAACTTTCAGATCTCAAGTGCACTATCATATGTGGATGTGAAGGAGCTAAGTGATTACTGAAAGTCAGGACAAACAACAACTTTGTTAAAGCTTTTATTGTGGTCACCAGGACCTAATATATGTCTTACATATATAAACATGTTGTCTTTTTAACTCTTTCATTACTTAGTAGTACATGCATTTAAAATTAACCATAGGGTTAGTCACGTGTCACGGAGTTAGTTCGAGTGTTTTAAAGTCTAAAGTTGTGAATTAAGGAATTAATAACAATGCTAGTTCCAACCGAGTGCACGATGAGACAAAATATATATAAATTTTGTGTCGAAGAAGGCGATGTTGTGATAAAAGATCCAACACTTATGAATAGATTGTACAGAGTATAGGTATAATTTTGCACACACACCCCTCACACCACACGTCTGGCAGCACCTGATGACATCATAGTACGAATGAAAAAATTCTCAAAGGGACATAATGCTCACAAATAAGCATATTTAAATCATAGAGAATATGCACATCAAAAGCAGATAGTATATGTACTTTTAATGTTAAATAATGAGGAAAAAGTGAATTTGTTTGTTTTAAAGAAATATTATAACCATTTTATTTCATTTAAAACTTTTTCTTTTTGAAGACAAAGAGAGTGTTTTTGTTTTTCTGTATACCATGATTATCACTTATATTGGGAGAGATTTTAGTAAATTTCAAATATAACAAAATATTATGGCGGCCATTTTGTAAAATGGCCGTCATGTCCGCAATGACATGATTCCGCGATGGCCCAATATCCAGATTTGTTTAGACAATAAATGTCTATATTTGTACAAAAATTGGTGCTTTTATCACAAAATGCACAATAGGTTGCCTATGCCGCCTGACTAGGAAGATAAATCATTGAGAATTCAAATGAAGGAACAAGGATTTCAGAATTGGTCATTCCATTTTGGTAGAATAACATACTTACCAAGGTCACACAGAATTACAGATACATGTAATTCTATCTATCCGGACTAATACAAATGTTATACCCAGATAACAAAATTAAAGATTTACGGACTAATTATTTATATCTTTAATATCTAAAAAAAAATTGATAGGTTTCTTAAGTGGAAAGTTTTTTTGAACTCCCGTCCCTCGAGGGGTGTTTATTATGAAAATCTTAAAGTCTAAAAGCTATTACTGGGTATGCGTTCTACATTTTTGTAAATGTATTTTGAACTACTGGGTAAGTTGTAGAGTGCTTTAGAGATATTGTTTTATTATATAAAGCGCTTTATAAAAATTGTATTGTAATATTGGGATCTACTTTGAAAAGGTAACACTTTTAAATCCTCTTTCGCAACCTATAAATTTATAAATGAAATCAAAAGAATGCTTAAGGAAAATACCAAAGTTGGAAATCATTTGAAACGACTCCAAAATTTTCACTTGTAGGGAATTTACATTCCGTTTAGTACTGATGGATTGGAGCTGACTTAAATGAAGGATGTCAATCAGCTTACTGTTACTACGTTAAAATTTCAACAAAAGCCTCGATGAAAAACATCCTTGTGTGAAGTACTGTAGAAATATAATTTAAAAATTGTGTGTCCCTAGGGATAAGACACGATGTTGCGTAATTTTATTACATTCAATCCTTAAAGGATCACAATTAGATCATCTCGACATCACTAAAGTAATCACTAGAAATTGGTCCCAGAACAAATGTAGGGACCAAGGATCGTA